GATAGTAAATCAGTGGTGAGCAAGGACGCACCACAGCTGATGGGTAGGATAGTTGTACAGAACAGTTTACATAGCATTTGGGCGTTTGTGTTTAAAATCAAAAAAAGAAAATATACGTAGATCATTCTGAAGTAGGTTATTTTAGTCCGTAGAATCCCCTAGGAAATCTAGCAGAAAAAGGACACGTAAGCCAGCTCATTCTATAATCTAAGAATGCATCCTGCAGCTTACTGGGGTCTGGGAGGCAGCCTTGGCCTTTCTGACTGCAGCAGCTGAAGGGAGCCAGGCCTTCTGAGGAACTGAAAGGTGACCATCAAGATATATCCTGGTGGAGTGGACACATATTGAAAATGTTTCCTTTGTTGTATAGGCAAAGGAAAACGTACTCTCAGCTGACTGCTGGACTAATATTTTCCAATAGGAACTCAGTATACTAAGGAATGATATGTAAACATTATACTGTGGATGGATCCAATTGATCGGCAATGGTTGTGCATGTGACGTTATGTCTATGTTCCGATGGGAGATATAAAGAAGTACGAAAGGTGGTTTCTGCCCTTGGAGAAGTTTGCAGTTAAAACGAAACCGTAGGGGCACCTGGGTGACTGAGTTCGTTAAGCGTCTGAGATTATGATCTTGCGGTTTGTAGTTTGAGCCCTGCATCGGGCTCTGTGCTGACAGCTCAGAGCCTGCTTTTGATTCTGTGTGTGTGTCTCTCTCTGCCCCTCCCACACTCATGCTCTCGCTCTCTTTCCCTCTCTCAAAAATAAATAAACATTAAAAAAATAAAACAAATAAATAAAAATAAGCTGTATTTAAATCCCATCTCTCTAAGCAAATCCCAACCATCCTTGATTCCATGATAGGCAATGTGACATGGCTGAATGTTGATAAACTTAGCTTGAGAAAGTCATGAGGTAAAAAGTCTTTTACCTTGTCACCAGACCACCAAAAGATTCAGCTTGTGTCATCCAGAAGGAGAGAAAGTGGCATTTGTTCCATCAATATTAACTTTTTCCTGAAAGGGTTTTTCCCCACCCCGCATTGTAAGGAAACTGCATGGGCGATTAATATACACTCACCAGTTTTATGTCTTTATCCAGCACCTAAATATGGAGATTTTCTGCCTGTTGGCTCTATATCTGCAGTGGAGCCATAGCCTCTCGAGTGATGACACAACAGGGAAAGAACTTCCAATTCGGGTACCCTCCATATAACTATGATTGCCTTGAATCAGGGGGGTAAATCACAAGCTAAAAAGAGTAACAGACTTGAAATCAGTTAAAAATCAGAGTAATCAACTGAGGAAAAAAATGTAATCTCATAAATCTAATTGTTTTTAATGTTTATTTTTGAGAAAGAGAAAGAGTGTGAGTGGGGGAGGTACAGAGAGGGAGGCAGGCAGAATCCCAGCAGGCTCCAGGCTCTGTCAGCACAGAGCCCGAAGCAGGGCTCGAACTCACGGACTGTGAGATCACGACCTGAGCTGAAGTCAGGTGCTTAACTGACTAAGCCACCCAGGCGCCCCTCATAAATCTAATTTTTAACCACAGGACAATAGTTTCTTTATTCATTAAATAACTTTCGCTGCCCCTCCCTTTTTCTTGAATTGGAACTCTAACATAGATTAGGAGAATTGCCAAATATCTGTGAAGTGAAAGACTCCCTCTACCCCTCCCACTCCCCATAATAGCCAAGAACAAATAAAACCGAAAAGTCATGGTTCCGCCCAGGAATTAGGTTTGTGTGGCCGTAATGTAAGAACTGTGATCGAGAGTGCTCTCAAAGCCACGTTAGGGGAGAATGAGGCCAACTGAGCAAGAAATCTTTTTTTTTTTTTTTTAAGCAGCATTTCCCTAGAAATAGGGAGATATAATTTGGCACGTTACAAACTGCTGGCATTCATTTTTTGTAAACTCTGCCTTTAAAAATAGCAAAGCTTCTGGAGCATTAATGGAACTAAAAATATAACCTGCTATTAATTGTTTCTAGGATAGGCTCTCATGGTTTTTGAGAAAGGACCAGATTTGAAGCAATTCCATGCGTATTTTTTTTGGTCAATCTAATATCCAAAGAAGCCTATAAATACATATCAACAGATTATTATTTTTCTCAGAGTGAATAAAGAGCTTCTTTCTTGGTAGGCATCTGCCAGATAATTTAGGGGGGAAAGGAAAAATGAAAAAGGCGTGGCAGGGGGAGCAGCCGTGTGAAATGAGACTGGACTAGCGGTGCCTGTCTACCCGTAAGACACTTCCGGCACGTATCCCCTTAAAGCCGGCCAGAATTTTAAAACCCTGTTCATTTCTCTTCCACACGAAGAGTGGGCTCTATCAGGAGCCGGATCAGGGACGTCACGATGCATGTCAGCTGCCAGAGCATGAAGCCGCGTTTGTAACAGAGAAATTAGTGACGTTTCCCTGCAATCATGAAGCAACATGTGCTGGGCTAATTACTGCTGTCTGTGACTGCTCACATCTTGAAACTTTCCATTGACCCAACTGCAGAAATCCTGTTTGTCTGCCCCCCTCCCCCCTTCTCTCCCAAAGAACAACAACAACAACAAAATAGCAAAATGCAAGGCTGGGCTTGTTTAATGAATGTGATTTGTTTTTGTTGAAGCAAAGGCACACACGAGGTTTCAGAGGCTGTCAGCTTGATGCCAGGTTTGTGAATGATTTCACGGTCCACGTCTTCAGAGGGGTTTGATAATATGGAAGGTGTCTGCCCTCGCTGGTGATGACCTGTCCAAAGGCATTTTCCTGACTTTTGTAGGTTCCTAGAATGAAAATGACCTTTAAAGGTGGGTGAGGCCATCTTTCTGACTTCAGACAGAACTATATCTAGCATGGGCAGATAGCGGAGAATCTTTCATTTTAGGAAGAATGTCCTCACGATGCTGCCTCATCCCTCCCTGTGGGGCTCTTCCCTGTTCCTGGCTGGGGTCTTCCTGCCCTCTCAGAAATGCCTGATGCCTAATGCCCAGCACCTAAAGCTGTAACCTGAGGCTCTTTCTGCCTTTTCTGCTTGAAATACAATCTCTTGCAGTATACAGCCAATATAGTTTTTGGTGGAATGCCTTTTCATTCATTCACCTGTTACAGCATTACACCAAACAGTCTTGCCTTTCTTATTATTAGGGTGACTTCCCTCCTCTACAGAACTTCCCCTCATTCCCTGCCTCCTCCCCCCAAAAAAGTTCCTCAAGGTAGATTGACTATTACTTTTCCATAGTTCATAGCAGGAAGTGATCTTAATAGAGGCGTTGGCTTAGATATGAGTTTATTTGAATGACTATTTGAATATATAAATTAGTAGTATGATATTATTACTTAGTAATATGGAAAAAAAAAAAAAAAAGGCCTGGAAAGAGCTTGATTCCCTAGAGAAAGAAACTTTCTGAGCACGGATAGTAATACTTTCTCTCCATTTAGATGCAATTGGTGGATGCTACTACCCAAACTAATTAATAATGACATATTAGTTAACATATTGCCATCAGCAGGTAGCTGTTTGAGCAGGGGTGAAAATGGCATGTGCTAAAACAAATCGTTGTACCCTAGAGAAATGGGCAGAGCTATTCTTTAAAAGAGCCATTTAATGATGTCTGCAATGTGATTTTTTTTTTTTTTCTGTACGTAATACAGCTTTAAGAGATAAAACTAGGGGCGAGGCTGGAGAGATGGAGACTAAAAAGGCAAAACAAAAGACCACAAAACTGATTCAACCTTTTCCAAAAGCTGTTCGAAGTGACAAACAAAACGAAACAAGTAAACAGTTGAATCCAAGCGGGCACAGTCTGCCTGTCACATCAGACATCACATGGAAGACTCAGGTGTCGTCATTCTTCCCCTCTGCGCTCTCTCTCTTCCTCCCCTCTGTTTATTCTAGATCTGTCAGGGGATTTGGGACATACGGCGACATATGGGCAGAAAACTATAATCTGTTGCTGGCTCTCGGTTTCCCAGGAATCCCTGTGACAAAGAAGGGGTTAAAACTGTCAACACCTATCACAGCTCGGTGATGATTAGTGTAATAGCAATCCCAGAACATCGGCACAGATAACCACACAGCAGCAGGCAATTTCTACAAGGGGGGCTGCTTCCTAAGAAATCCTTCTCCACCTCTTTCCGTGTACAACTATGCTTTCTAAATGCCTCTCTGAAAAAGTTACTGTGTATGCATACAAATGATTCTGACTAAGGATGATTGTGACCTTTTTTTCTATTTCAGAAGGTGCATTTTGAATTAGCACTTGCAGATACAAGTTGAATAGATATGTACCCTTAGTGCACAAGATAGGTGGCCTGTAGAGTGTCTTCAAGTGTGTGGACAGTTAGTTACTCTGCTCCTAAGGACACTCCAGGGTAGGAGGGAGTGAGGTCGTTTAAGGAGACAAACTGTTGCAAGACGTACTTTCATTTCATTTTTTTCTTGACTTTCGTGTTCTTCCAAGAAACAAAAGGGAGGGAAAAAAAGAACAATGTTTTTAAATAAGACAAGCAAGACTTAGGCCTGAAAAAAATAAAATACAGTTCTCATTTAGTAGCTTCAGGGAGATAATTGATAGATTCGAAAAACAAAGACTTAAAGCTCTTTTCCCAGGGGCTCCTGGGTGGCTCAGTCAGTTAAGTGTCTGACTGCAGCTCAGGGCATGATCTCACGATTTGTGAGTTTGAGCCCCGCAGCAGGTTTTGTGTTGACAGCTCAGAGCCTGGAGCCCTCTTCTGATTCTTTGTCTCCCTCTTTCTCTGCCCCTCCCCCCTCTCAAAAAACAATTTTAAAAAGTGCCATTTTTTTTTCAAAAGTCCACATGGTAACCAGAAAGGACAATTGTGACTTAAACATAGGAGTGGCAGTCGGTACAGCATGTGGTCATGAGTTCGAGTCCCACACTGGGCATGGAGTTTACTTAAAACTAGGAACAGGAATCCATGATGGACTAGGGGAACAATGGGTAAAGGAGAACCTAAATAACCCCGATATGTTCAAATCCACAGGTCCCAATGGCCGGCATCCTAGAGTACTTAATGAATTGGCCGAAGTCATCACAGAACCGCTAGATATCATTTTTGAGAACTCGTGGAGGACTGATGAGGTGCCTGAAGACTGGAAAAGGGCATATTTAGAACCTTCTTTCAAAAAAGGGACATGGATGATGACCTTGGAAATACTCATCAGCTTAACTTTTTGCTTGGAAAAATTCTGGAATAATCGATTTGTATACTGGGTAACTAACTTACAACAGCTAGAAATGAGGCAGTGAAACATCACATAAAGAACGGAGTTCAGTTTTGAGATAAGGTCTTGTGCATATTTTGGGGACTCTCCTGTCCATTCTCTGAATTCTTGGGGAAAATAAATGAGGTTGGCTGAGGCATTTGGGTGATAACTAATTGTAAGTGTAATATAAGACAAAAAGCAGGTTTCTGGCATTAGCTTGCCAGAATACACCATCTCCGTATTACCTTTAACTTGAGAATTAGTAGCTTTCGTTTTATATTTTAACATACATCTTCCTTTTGCTTCATATGGGACCATGTTTTTGTGGGTTGAAGTTTTTTTTATAGAATTCAATATAGGATAGTTTTGTGACGGAATTCTTATTTTAAGGTGCTTTTAATAATCATTCATATATAGGTAGAATCATAAAACTGATGAATTAAGGAACATCGCCCAGGGAAGACCATGTTTTCTAAGTTCTCATTTTTAATTTAACCTGGCTAAAGTTTAACATTAGGACCAGTAAGAGTGTCTTGCTCTCCCAGAAGCCCAGCAAGAGCCAGATGTGACGTGATAGCTAGTTTCCCTCCTTCCCTGGGGACTGTCAAGGTCAATGTTGTGGCCAATCCCACCTCACTCCCCAGGTTTCTGAAGTCGGGCCTGTGGGGGCAGTGAGGTCGATAAAACCACTGGCCGCATAACCACAGCCAGAAAGGAGAGTAGAAGGGAAAAAAAGACAAATCTGGATTATTTCTCATTGTTACTTTTCTTGCCTTTGAATGTCAGTAGTTTTATTTCCTGCTTAGAAAACACAGCCATGTTGATGGGATCAAAACGAATTGAAAGGAAGTTATCAAAGAAGACACAGATACACAGGAGGCTCCCGGGGCAAGCAGCTTCAGAGAGGCCCTGACCAGTCCTGCTTTACAGAATCTTTCCCACACTGCTTGGAAATATACACGATATGTACATTTGCATCAGCATTGTGATTCTTAAGAGTAGGAAGAGACTCTCAAAGGAAAAGCGGTTTCCATTCATTTTCTTCCTGGTGCATACTGGTCCCTAGGTGAGCAGTTAAGGACTCCAAGGGCATTTTTATCATGGTACTGCTTTAAAAATCTAAGGTTTACATAGTTTATCTACTTCTAGAGGTTAATTTAGACACTGTAAAAGCAGTCTCATTCTTAAATGCAATGCAAGGAGATTAAACTCAAAAGCATGTATAAATTATCCTTTAAACTGTACGTAGCTTGCAGATAAGTAAGGATTATACTCCAGTCAACCTTTTCGTCATTTTTTAAGTGAACCAGTCTTTAAAATTTCCAAGCTAGATTTTTTTTTAAGGAGTCGGGGTGGGGGGAGGATTCTGTATAGATTACAGATATAATTTATTGTGATAATAAATGGCTTCCTGTTCAAGACCTCATTTCTAGATGCAGCATCGGTGGTAGATTTATTTCACAGACATTTACATGGATTTGTTGAACTGTTGCTAGAAAGGATGCAATTTCTGAAAAATCTATTCACCATTGGTATCATGGTACAATCTATTGCAGCCAAAAGAAAATAGGGGGTGGGACTCTGGTCATTTAAAGATTTATTTTCTAGTTGTGTAACGCCTAACTTTAATTATCTTACTACCTTTAAATCTCTTTGTGTCTGCTAGTGGAATGTGAAAATAATGATTCTCTACCTAAATTAAAAGTCACAGTCAAGAATGATGAACTAGCCAATGGACTTGTAAGACTTCTTACCTAAAGCCAGAGGAAGAAAACTTTAAGTAGGGAAGTATTAAAGGAAACCCATTAATTCTTTTGCATTAAATGAAGATCAGGTAAGAGTTAAAATATAAGAGAAAGGAAGGAGTCTTAAGTATGAATTGTATCTGGAGATAATTACTCTTAGGATGAGTAATTATTTCGTAGCATTTTTTCTTTTATCTAACATTTATGATATTCTTAATATTTTAAGATAAAGGAGGTAGCTAAGGGACAAATATTGCTATCACAACCAGAGGAGTATCTTGATTTATATATCCTAGAACATCAAGAGACATTAATTAGAGACTTTGTTTCATAACATTGAGGAATTTGGAGGATTATAGCCAAATTCTTGTTCAGTTCATCTTATAACAAAATTTTGGGGGCTGAGGAAGGAAAAATTTTATTTATATCAGCTATTTTTTGACTTAGGAAGTGCATAATGTTCAGGGCTCCCTCCCACTAAAGGAATTGAAGCAAATTAGAGTAGCTCTACTCAAGCAGTTTCTCAGCCCAGAGAAGTTTACAGCATCTTGTGTTGTGAAATCAACAACAAAAACAGTAAGCCTTGAGTTTTTACTTTGGAGCTACTCAGCTCTTAGTTCAAATTAAAATCATGCTGATTGCCTTTTCAGGTGGTGAATCTGTTCAGAACATAAATTATAGTGTAGCATGGGGAATGGTCTTGAACGATTATTGAACTAATCATCAGCTTTTTGTTCTTGTCCATAAAATAGGAAAAATAAATACCTTCTGTAATTCTTAAGAGGCTTAGCATTTCTGCACCAAACACCCACAGAGTTCCTGGCCCAGTGCTTGACAGATAGTAGGTACTGAGTGCCTTCTTCCCTTCCATTTTTTACTCTGTTACTTTCTTTATTTCCTCTTATATGAAAGAAATTACCTTAAAACTGACTAGAAAACTCTAGCGTAAATTGACATGTCCTTATTGCTGCCTTAGACCCACTGAACAACCTTTTGCTTTCTTTTAGAAAGGTTACTGTGGCCACTCACAGCAGGAGTTCAGTAAATGCTTATTGATTAAATGAAAAGAATGTGATTTTTAAAAACAATGAGCAAATGTGTAAGGCCAGCACTTTTCAAGGCTTGGGGAAATAGTCACATAGATGCATATGAAGGTATTTCTTTTTTATAGTTTTAGGTTTATAAATTTGGTGTACAGGTTAGTGAGTAGCATATGTGCATTTTCATCTGATTTTGTGACTGTGATTTACAAATTAGGAGTGCAAATGGGCATTTCCCCATAGAGTCTTCTGGGATAAATCCGGCAAGATACCAGGCAGATGATGGTGGATCAGCAAACTTTTCTAGCTGAAGAGAAACCAGATGTGCCGGTGACTAGGAAACACCTGCCAGAAAACTGTGATGAACCTATCTGGATTCTTTTCTGGAAAGAGTCTGAGTGCCGTAAACAGGTTCCTCGCCTGGGCATTGAAGAGTAACAAAAAAGAGAGGTTAAAGAAAATTACATTTTTAGACAAAATATTTGGTTTATATAAATTTGTATATGTAATATTAAATTAGGTATCAAAACATCAGGTTCAGGCAGGTAGAAGATTTCTGAATTTCAAAGTAAAATGAGGAGTAAGGAGTAGAATATTATATCCAGAGATATATACGGGAAATAAGCAAGAGCCTGACCTTAAATTGCCAGTTCTCAGTTCAGACCAAGGACCAAGTAATAGGCAATGCTTAGAAGTCAGCTGCCAACTTGTGCTTTGACTAAAGCCACGGCAGATGCTGTATTAAACAAAGTAAGTTGCATAGAGCAGAGCCCATCAATCAGCTAGGTTTACTCTTCCCGAAGTTTCTAGACTCTTTGCAATCTCAGTGGTTATCAGTTAGATATTCCTACACTAGATGTTTTACACTATCATATTCTTTGATTAGAAAATTCTCGTTAGCATTCTATTATTAATCTCTAAGGATATAAAATCAAGCTTCTACTCCATGATGACTATGACAGTTATTTCCATGAAAGGGAAACACTTAAAAAAAGAGTGGTAGTTCAGAAAAATGAATAATATAACTTTTTATTTTGAATTATCAACCTCTATGTTTTCCTTTAAATTGTTTAAATTCCTGGAAATGAAGTTTTATTTTTTATTGTTTTTGTTAAACGATAACTTTTAGAGGAAAATGGGAGGTTAAATTCCACATTAAGAGCTGGGTGGGTTTTTTTTTGTTTGTTTTTTGTTTTTGTTTTTTGACAATTCGACCAAAATTTCTTCCAACTGGTACAAAAGGAAGGACATCAACTTTGCAACATTAAGATGAGAAGTGTCTTCTGTACATGTGTTCTGTATCATGCCCTTTGTCAGATGAATTTCCCCTTATTATTCCAAAAATAAAATGCTGAGTTGAATATCCTCAGGGCAAAGTGGTGTATCAATTGGGGCAAATGGTAGAAATTCTGTTGCAGTTGTTGTCCTGGTCCCTAAACTTGACAATACTCTGAGATACTCTTTGGGTGACTACAGCCATTATTCATTGAAAAGTTCTGCCCATCGGGAAATGTGTGCATAGGTCTAAATTATCAACATGTGTACATCTAAGTAGCTGAGCACAGATTCATTCTAAATATAAGCTGCAGTTTGGTTTTTGGAAATGTAATTGTAACTGACACCTTCCCCCCCCCCCCCCGCCCTTTCATTAATTGTTTTTAAAAGGGATTGAATGAGAAGGCTCTATTAAAAGCTTAATTGGAACAGCATCACGAATCATGGATTGTATGCCCATGCAGCGCTGTGATTTGCAAACATATGTCCGCTCTTCAATAAATGTTACGGCTTTCACAGCGGTTCCGCCTTGGCCTCCTTTGTAATCGTTTACATTTTGATGAATGGCATAGAGTATGTATGTTGTTTAAATTGACGATATATAAATGTTTACAGTAATGTGGCCTTATGGGTGGCACGGGAAATCAGAGTTCCAACTTGAAAGACAGGAGAAAGCAGGGCTCCCCACACACCATGCAAAGTGTGAATAAATCATTACGATGTGTGCTTGGATGCATTTATGTGATTGTTATATATGTATATGTTGTGCCTTTCTCCTCCCCGCTACCCCACTTCCTACTGAAAAAGTACTCCCGAGGGTGATAGCATGAGATTTTGTGCCAGTAATTGCGGCTCCCCGGAGTAGGAGGTGGGATGGCGGGATCTATTAGGTGGTAGGCAGGGTCACATGTGATGTTTCTGCTATGGCTCCCACAGCCTTAAATATCCATCACCCGCGGGTTGTGATTCATCCACAGATAAGCGGCATCTCAGGGGTCATTACATCTAGAGTCTACTGGATTCAACTTTCTGGCTTCCGGACCTTGAGCAAATAGAATAAATAAATATAGACCATAGCACAATAATTAGGACATGATAAGCAGCCCCAGAACATTAATTTAAAAAAAAATTGCAGTAGTACTCTGGGTTCTGTATAAATGGCACCACGCATGATATGTTCGGTGATGATGAAGGGCTGTTTTTATTCCCACTGAATTCAAGGGTGAGCGGAATGTGAATTTAAAGCAAGCAAGATGTAGGGTAAATATTAGGAAGAAATATGTAACAAGTAGAATGTTAGGCATGAAAAGGATCCTAAGATAACATGATCTGGTTCAGACAGGGGAGGCCAGGAGTTTGTGATGTGACATTGTTCCCCTAGATGCTCTAAATCCTGGCTTTTGGTCTCAGATTCTGGAGAGTCTACCTAAAGGGATCTGTGGCATCTTCAAAAGAGACCCATCTCTCTAGACAGGCCTTAATTTCAACTTGGATCCGTAATTTTTGAGACATTGCCTCAGAACACGTTTACTCCTATCCTAAATCCCCAAGCAGCCCCAGAGCTCTGTGGGGGCCAGCAGCACATTATGAAAATCTTCTCTTTCAGCTCTAAAATCTTAGGCTTCAAGTCTTCCTTGATCTATCAAGCATATTTAGAAAAGTCAATGATGTTGTCAGGCAGCACAAAAATGTATTTTTTAAAGTCGGGAGTTTGGGGGAACCTGGGTTGCTCAGTTGGTTAAGCGTCCAACTTCGGCTCAGGTCATGATCTCACGGTTTGTGGGTTCGAGCCCGATGTCAGGCTCTGTGCTAACAGCTAGCGCAGAGCCTGGAGTCTGCTTCAGATTCTGTGTCTCCCTCTCTCTCTGACCTTCCCCTGCTCACACACACTCTTTCTCTCAGAAAAAAAACATTAAAAAAGTAAAAAATAAAATGGGGAGTTGGATGCATGAAGTAGAGATCCCAAGTAAGGAGTGTTTGATAAATGATAAAGAATAGGATGCTTTATATCATTAATAAAAACACTTCACATAAGGCAGATTTTAAAGTCTTTCATTTGAATCTGGAAAATGAATACCTTCTAGTCTCATTCCAGGCCATATGCAGCTCCACTGAGGATTTTTAATTTAAAAGCGTCCTCTTGAACAATTTTAAATGAAAAACTTACCTCTTTTCCCCTCCTAGAGTTATGCTGAGGACAGCGTGTATTCGTGTAATTATGGACACTTTTTTGGCCAACTTCCCCCTCAAATATATCCATGTACCATTAACAGGATGTCTGTGGAATCTCATCTGTTTCTTGGTTGAATAATGAGCACTGATGGTGAACTGTATATATTCAGCACGCATTCTTTTACATCTATTGAGTTCAATCAACTGAACATCAACTTCGTTTTGGAAATTAATCATTCTATATAACCACATTTACAAAAATAGCCATTTCAAGTGAAGAATATACATTTAAGTTTTTCTAAGTCTTGATCTATAAATTGGAAACCCCCAATGCAGGTTTGGTTTTCCTGGTGAGTAGCTGTCTAGCCCCGAACTTTTTATGCCTCTGCTGTTCTCTGGTCTGTGAGCGTGTGCCGTGAACAGCATCATCTGGACGCACTCACTGAGGGCTCAGGCGACAGTATCCGTATAATGTCACGTTCTTCAGCAGAAAGTCCCGGAGTGACATGGTCTGGTTTTTACTGTGACTTGCACGAGGCTCTGAGCCCATTTGGTTTGTCCCTGCTAGTGTTACCCCTACTTCCGTAGCTCCTGGCCTGTTTTCTGGCGCACTGCAGGCGCTCAGGGACATTGACGCATGAGCTAAGGACTAAAGCCCAAGGGAACCGATCCCTGAAGTTGTGTAAGTTGACTCGAGCGGGACATTCCCTGGTTTCAGAGAACATGGAGGAAACCTGGGGCCTTTGTGTTTGGAGGAGAGCTTGCCTTTCACCTCAAAACCCTGAAAACCAGGCTTCTCTTTACCAGAAGTTCACCTTGGGATGTGTGGTTTTGTTGTTCTTCAGGGCCTCTGACTTTCTTGTCTTTTGTAAAAAACTATAAATGCAAATAATTTACAAAGTAAAATTTTACAGGAGTGCCTGGGTGGCTCAGTCAGTTGAGCATCCGACTTCGGCTCAGGTCATGATCTCACTGCTTGTGGGTTCGAGCCCTACGTCGGGCTCTGTGCTGACAGCTCAGAGCCCGGAGCCTGCTTCAGATTCTGTCTCCATCTCTCTGCCTCTCCCCTGCTTATGTGCGCATGCGCGTGCTCTCTCTCTCAAATACAAAATAAAACATTAAAAATAAAATAAATTACACACGCATTTAGGTTTTCTTGTACCAGAAGGTACTAGATATTGCATTTTGTGAAGGCAGATGAAAATGCTAAAATGACACACTTATTTGAATTACAATTTCTTTTGGCCCTATTTTTTTTAAACCTGAATTGTGAGAGGGATATCATCCTTTCCTGCAATTAAAGCTAATAAAATAGCCATCAATTCCTGCAATTAAAAAGAATCAAATCATGATTAATGTATTTATGGCACCATGCTAGCATATGATATGCTGCTAGACAAAATGCAAACATATTTTGATACCTTCCCTACATAAACATTAATTTCTGTCTTAGATTGCATTTCGGACACACTCCCCTTTTAGATATATTTAATGTAAATATGTGAACATATGATTTTGTCCCTGGAAATAATTATTTCTTCTTAAAATTCACTTCCACTTTCTAACCAATACAAAGGCAAAAAAAAAAAAAAAAAAAAGGAGAAATTAAGAAGTATCAGTGTCCAGGATGCTCGGATCTGGGTTTGAATCCCAGAGAGATGCTGAGTGTTGTCCTGATTGCTTACCGTATAAGCCAAACCTGGCAAATGTATGGTGATCACATGCCTTGTCTTTCTTTCTTCCTGTGGATTAACATGCATCATGTGGAAGGGAGGGAAGAGCATGAAGGTTTCAGACTCACAAGACCCAGGATACAAATTCCAACCTCTGGCATGTGGCCGAGTGACCTTAGGTTACTAAATCCTTGCCAGTCCGTTGCACCACCAGCAACTGAGGTTGATAACACCCCCCAAGGAGGCTAACAAGGAAGATAATGCATAGAGGGTTTGGTGTCGGGGAAACACGAGTCCCTCACACAGTCAGCTAGGCAGTCTCTGGCAGGTTGGAAGGGGAGGCATGGGACAGAGGAGAGAGGTTTATGACTCATGAGCTTGAATTGTTTTCAAGATAAGTTAGAAAAAAAGCTCACATTCTAGAATTGATTACAAAACAACATTAAAAAGTAGAATTGCTGGAGCACCTGGGTGGCTCAGTTGGTTAAGGGTCTGGCTTCGGCTCAGGTCATATTCTCATGGTTCTTGAGTTCGAACCCTGCATTAGGGTCTCTGCTGTCAGCATGGATCCCACTTTGAAATCTCTGCCCTTTTCCCACTTGCTCTCTCTCTCTCTTTTTCTCTCTCTCTCTCTCTCTCTCTCACACACACACACACACACACACACACACACACACACAAAACACACAAGTAAATAAACACTAAAAAAACCCAAAAAAGTAGAATTGCCAACACTTAAAAAGACATTTAATGTGTGCCCAGGACAGTTCAAGGCACTTTACATGTATTTTCTCATTAATCCTTACAGTAACCCTGCAAAGATAGATACCATCATTATTCCCATTCTACAGATGAGGGAGCTCAGGTAAAGATGGGTTTTGTTAATTGACCTGAGGCCACACAGCCATTAATTGGGAACACTAGAATTTGAATCTCAACAGTATAACTTTAAGCCTGTCCTTTTAACCTGTATTTAATGGGGCAAAATTTAGTATGAGACCATACACAAGGATCACACATTAGGAAGTAGGAGAGGGCAGATTGACAAGAGCAGAGTTGGTCTTACAAGAGTGTGTTTGAAAGGTCAACAGGCGAGGTGAGGAAGGTATGGAATATATCGCATGTCGTCAAGTCTGAGAGACCCCAGAGGGCAAGACCACCAGTGCGTGCCCCTGGGCAAGAGGAATGCTTCCCTATGGTTTTCAATTAGGAGTTATTTTCTTCCTTTTTTTTTTTTTCTTTTTTTAAATGTTTACTTATTTATTTAGAGAGAGAGTGGTCACGAGCAGGGGAGGGGCAGAGACAGAGAGGGAGAGGGAGAATCCCAAGCAAGCTCCAGGCTGTCAGTGCAGAGCCTGATGCAGGGCTCCATCCCAAGAATCATGAGATCATGACCTGAACTGAAATCAAGAGTCGGACGCTTAACTGATTGAGCCACCCAGACGCCCCTCAATTAGGATTTTTGTTTTCAACTTCTCGAAAGAACTATCTTAGGTATATTTATACACAGATGTTTATGATTTATCATTCAGACATACATAAAAATAACAGAACACTAAGTAAATGAGAGGTAATCCTAAGGCTTTTTTTTTTTTTAGACCAAGTCTTCTGAATCATTTTCAACTCAGGTCCCTCCAGTCCCTGCTTCTATTGTCCCCATCTGGTCAGCAG